CCCCCCTTATTACATCAAGGAGTGGGAACGAGAAATAGGACAGAACTTTACAGCAGAGGAATGGCATAAAGTCTTCCTCCTTACCTCTAAATCAAGTATATCGGCTGGTACCCAGGAGAGGAACTTTAAAATAGTAACCAGGTGGTATAGATGCCCAGTGAAATTACATAAAATAGATCCGCAAGTAACCAAAATGTGCTGGAGATGTGGAAGGGAAGAGGGCACAATGCTACACATATGGTGGACTTGAAAAGCCCTACTGGAAAACCATATTTGAGCTGGCAGGCAGAATTATGGGTACTAAATTATCTGAAACCCCAGAAGTGGCACTATTATCAATGCTTCCGGGCTCAGTAAAAAGCATAAAGAGGGGATTGACATGCCCCATATAGGAAGCAGCAAGGGCGATAATTCCAAGATACTGGAGGCAAGTGAACACCCCTGAGATCCGGGAATGGGTATTGGAATTGAACCATATAATGCGAATGGAAGAACTGACAGCACGTGCATATAAAGACATGGGATATTTGTAGTAAAATGGGGACCATGGTTGGCTTTTATTGGCTCAACAGAGATCCTACAATATTTATAAGAACATGAGGAATAGCGTCTTTCCTCTTTTCCCTTTCTTGTACAAAATCTTTCATTTTTGAAAGGTTGTTTTTTTTTTTAATGAATAAATAGGGTAAGAGAAAAGGCACGGGGCCGTGATTGAGTGGCATTCCAGACAATATAGTGCTTTTCGCCCTCTCTTTTCATGGCTAGATAAGTAATGGTGAAGGGTCAGTTTACTATCCAATCAAGCATAAGTACTAGTATTTTTCATTGGTTATTACTTATTTTTCACCTGTAATTAAGAAGAAATCAAGAAATGTTATATATGAAATAGCCATATATGTAGAGGTTATTAATATTATTATGTAATTTATGGAATTGTATGTGAAATTAAACAAATACAAATTTATTCTTAAAAAAAAAAAAATTTAAAAAAAACTGTTTCCCCTAATATTAAATTCTAAAACATTTATTATTACCCAATTTTTTGGTAAAACATAAAAGACGCGGTCACGTCAGGTAAAAAGACACCAACATGTCAAGCCTTAAAATTGCACACGCGCGCGAAACCTCAAAAAACTACATTACCCAAAATTAGCCATAGGCGACGCTTTAGAAGCTTTTACCGTAGCTTCTTCTCTCTGGCTGTAGCAGCCAGATGACTGACAGGTGAATGCGGAAGTTATGTGATACACATCACTTCTGCATTCACAGCCCGGAGGGAGATCAGCAAGGAGCTGATCTCCCTCCCTTCTCCTCCTGACGCCCTCCCAACCCGGTCCCTGGCCGCAGATGGGCCAGCGGATTGAAGCTGAGGGGTAAGGAGGAAGGGGCGGTGGCACTCGAGGGGGGCGGCCGAATAAATAACGCCATACAACCGATCGGCGGCTATAGAGCCGCTGATTGGTTGTATGTGAAACAGCCGTTAACGGCTGTAAAAACGAGCGGGTCTTTCCTGCCCGGAGACGGCAACCCACTGATGCGAGTGAGCCGTCCGTCCGGTTTTTTTCAAAAGGCGGACGGCAACTGGTTAAAAGTGAAGGACAGATGGTGCTGGAAACGCTCCCCCACCCCTTCCACTTTAAAGATGGATGTTTCAGTTTGTCCTAAATGGCCTGCTTTATACCTCTTGCAAACCATTTGTTATGTCCTATCTATGATGGGCCATCCATTTGTTGAGAGGGTGTTTTTTCTCCCAAGTGCACATGTCTTTGCATTTCACACAACACTAGACTGTATATATCAAGTTACTTCACTTGTGTTTGGGTGTTGTTTTTTTGGGATGTACAAGCTTCTGTCTCATTGGACAATCAAAATCTGGCTTGACGCATTCCATGGCAATTAAGGGGACTGTGTTACCTGTGTGGATATAAATGTTGGGGTACATGGGCGTAACAAGAAATCACAGGGCCCCATAGCAAAATTTTGTATGGGACTCCGTGATTGCTAGTTATGAAACTTGCAGAGCCGACCAGATATACCAAACAGCCCACCTGAGAGTGACCCTGCAGAGCCCACCATAGACTCTCTATAGTGGGCTCTGCAGGGTCTCAGATGGGCTGCACACCTCTTACCAGTCAGCGCTGTCGCCGGGCCCCGCCTCCTCTTCCGTCCACGCCTCCTCTTCTATGGACCGGCCCCGCCTCCTCTTACATCACTGGCCCCACCTGCTCTTAGGTCGCTGGCCAGTGATGTCAGAGGAGGCGGGGTTGCTCTTAGGTGGGCCCTGCCTCCTCCTTCACTGCGAACGCTGCCCTCTTCTGCCGTAGCTGCTGACTCTCACTAACACAGTTTAGCAGCGGCTGTGAGGGGAAATGCCGCTGCTGAGCTGTGTCAGTGACAGCCAGCACTCTTACATGCCAGAGCAACCCAGGCGGCCCACACTGCATCAGAGGGATGCCCTGGCCGAGCCCCCCTGTGCCGGGCCCCATTGTGGCTGCCTGGGCCACTATGGCGATTGTTACGCCACTGCTGGGGTATGTTCCTGATACTCATTAGAAATGAAGAAGTGGCGTGTATAGGCTGTACAATGACTTCAACATTACAAAATAAGTCCAGTTATATATGACTTACTACAATGACTTGTGACAATGACACAGTGACTTTGATAAATGAGAACCTTCACAGACAACCTGCGTAGTTCATATGCATTTTGTAACGGGATGAGATGGCAACTGTGTGTAAGTGCCAATCAGATTCAGTACACTGCTAACTCTCATACAAATTATTAAATTATGAATTATAAAACTGTAATTGTCACATAACTTAGAAAAAAAAGAAGCAAAGAAAAGATTCTAACATTGTATTACATAAAAATTGATGCCTTTCTCTGTAATTATTTAAACCATTCAGCAATACTTGAAATTGTCCTATAAGGTGGTGCCTCCTTCAGTGCTTTACAAACTCTACAATATTCTGTTATCCAGGTTTTCCTTGTTTTGACAGGTGTGAAATGAGACCTCCATTTAAAATATTGTCTGTATCTTTGGTCATTCTTGTCTAAACTCAGGAGATAGGAGGCCAGCTCTTGAGCAGATGAAAAGTCATCCACATGAATAAATGAGTCTGGAGGTATATAACGCTCATAGTTTTTACGTGAAGGACCCAATACAACTGGTACTGTGCCTGCTTGAAATGCATTGTTCCAGAGTTTCTCTGTGATATAATCATCATGAACATAATTCTCAAAAGCCAGGTAGAATTTATACTTTCTGAGGATCAAAAAGTGGTCTTTTCTTGGTAATGGCAAATTATGCTTTCCATAGACATCAACTTGAAGATGATTCTTTAGTTCATTATAATATTGCACTCTCTTTTGTTTGAGTTTCCAGTTGCTTACTATCCATGCCACAAGTTTAGATTTACTGGGAACTGTGTAGTTTTCTGCTCTATCAATACTTTCCAACCAACCATAAGGGGTAAAGATGTCTGAATCAGACCTGTAGGACATGGTCAGGTTTATGATATTGTCCATAATGGTGAGCTTTTGCAGATGTTCTGGGGGCTCCATATTAAACCAAATCCAGAACTGATTCAAAGGTCTTGGTGTTTGAGGTAATTGGTCCTTGGAATTTATATCTCTGTGGTGAACAACAACAGCATTTGCCTTCAAATACATGCTTCTGTTCACTGTGAAGAAACACCCAGATGAATCAACCAGTGGAGGACATTGGTTAAGAGGGAAAGTGTGTTTTGCAGGCCATGTCCAAAGTAGGATAGTCAAGATAGATTTATTGGGTAACAGAGCCATTTTATGTGTCACTGAGCAGTTAGTTTGCATATTTTGTTCATGTGTTTGGCGAAAGTATATTTGAGCAGGTACATTGTTTACACGATAAAAGGCAAATATTGAAATAAAAATATAAGCCTGTAGTGATAAATACAATAAGAAGCAGCTCCACTTGAATGCTTGCATAAAGAAAGCCATTTCAACTGCATGAATATTTTTCTGTGGCAGTTTAGGCAAGGTTTTGGATGATGGTGCTTGAATTGATGTTTTTTCTTGTAGTATTTTCAACCCTTTGAATAAGAAAAATACACTTAAGTTAGAAATTTTCTCTAATACATATTTTAAAACATACCTTCTTGTTTATTTTTTCCATTGATATTTTTACATTCAAGTAATTAAAGATAAATTATGTTCTTTCTGTTAGGGATATGTTTGAGCAAAACTCTAAAAAAATGGCCCCACAGTATACAGTGCATGACCCTACTTTACAACTTACTTACTTTTTCTTTTTTTAGAGCATTTGTACAGAAAAGACAATCAATTATGTTATCCAGTTCACATAGTTTTACCACTTCACTCAGCAGTGAAAGACAATCTTCTGAAGAAACTAAAAAAAATATATATAAATAAAAAGAAGTAAAAAAAATAAAAGTCACATATAAAAAAAGTTTAAAAAAAACCCCAAAATGTTTAAGTCCCCCACCCCCACGTTTACGCACATATAAACGTAAATATGCGTCCAGTGCACCAGCGTGCGAAAATGACAATTGCGCTACACATGTTACATATCACCAAGAACGTCGGAGTGAGAGCAATCATTTTAGGGCCATCAATCACTGAAACTGGTGAGCGGTAAAAGCTTTTAAAGCGTCGCATATGGCCAATTTTGGATATTATCGTTTTTTGAGGTTTTGCGCGCGCACGCAATTTTAAGGCTTGACATGTTTGGTGTCTTTTTTCCCGACGTGACCCCATCTATTATATTTTACCAAAAAATTGGTTAATAATAAATGTTTTATCATTTAATATAGGGGAAACTGTTTTTATTTTAAATCTCTGTAATTTTTCCTTAATATAGTAAAAAATAAAAACTGCAGTGGTGATTAAATATCACCAAAAGAAAGCTCCATCTGTCAATAAAAATTTTATAAAATTCATTTCAGTACGGCGTTGCATGACAGAATAAACGTCGGTCAAAGTACCACAGCGCTGAATACTGAAAAATGGCCTGGATGTAAACACCGCGGACTTCAAGTGGTTAAACTCAAGACTGAAACATCCACCTGTTGGAGAGACTGCGTAAACAAAAGACCAGGTGGCAGTCTTGGAAACGGTTGCTAGATGCCAAAAAGACCAAGAGGCACTCACAGATTTAGTAGAGTTTGCCTTGATAGGAAATGGTGGAATCTGAGGCTTCAGGCTATAAACTTGCTTTATGGTCTATCTGAGCCGCCTTGAAATGGTGGAAAGGGAAGCCAGAACACCCTTCCAGGGTCTATGCAGAACACCCAATAAAAAAAAGAAACAGTCTTTCTGAAAGAAACAGTAGCTTGGAAATAGACTCTAACAGACCAAAACTAAGGAAAATATCCTTTGGATGAACTAAAGACAGATAAACGGATGGAAAAATAATATCCTGGTTCAGTTGGCAGAAACTACTACTACAAAACTAGGAAGGGTTCCTTGCAGAGTAAAGCTGCCAGCTCAGACACCTCACAAAGTTGATGGGTACAGGGAATACCATTTTATGGGTGAGGGCAGAGGGAAGAATTGGTTAATTTGCAGTTTCTGAAGTGCAGATGGAACCAGATTCAGATCTCATGGAGTCACAGGTGAATATACGGGGGGGGGGGGGGGTACATAGGAGACCCCCTACACAAAGGTTTTAGTCAAGCAATGAAGAGCCAATGGTCTGCGAAGCAGGATAGAAAGGGCAGAAACCTGGCCCTTGATAGTGCCAAGAGCCAAACGCTGGTCCAAACCCAGCTGTTGGAAGGAGAAAACTGCTTCCATTAGAGCAGGGATGGCCAAACTCCGGCCCTCCAGCTGTGGTGAAACTACAAATCCCATGAAGCATCTCTCTCCGGGATTCATGTCTGTGGCTGTGAGAATCTTGCAAAGCCTCATGGGATTCGTAGTTCCACCACAGCTGGAGGGCCGCAGTTTGGCCATCCCTGCATTAGAGGATCTCCATACCTAGAGACACACCTGTCCAGTTTGTTGTTAACCTGGAGGCCAGGAGGTCCACATCTGGTGTTCCTCACCTGTAGCACAGGTCTTGGATCACCTTCGTCCAGGCACTGTTGGCTAAGGAAGTCTGCCTGCCAATTGTCGATGCCTGGGATGTACATGGCGGACAAGGCTGGAACATGAGGTTCTGCCCAGGACAGGATATCTTTTAACTCTCTTGGTAAGGAGAGACTTTTGGTTCCTCTCTGATGATTAATGTATGCAACTGCTGTGGCCTTGGGCATAGTCCAACTAAATCTGGATTGGATGACCTTCCAGTAGAATGGTCCAAAGCTACAGAGACAGCCAGTTCATTCAAAACTCCAGGATGTTGATTGGGATATGAGACTCCTCTGATGACCAAGTCCCCTGCGCCAAGAGGGTACCCAGGACTCCTTCCCAACCCAACAGGCTGTCATTGGTTGTGAGGATCTTTTAAAAGATGGAAAGGAAGGACTTAGACAATTCCAGAGCCCCATTCATGAGCCACTATACCAGGTGCCCTTGGCAACAAACAAATCGGTCTGTTCAAGGATCGGATTGACTTGTCCCATGATGACAGAATGTTGCATTGTGGAGATCTTGAGTGAAACTGGAGAATTGAGACCATAACACCCAAAATTCTCATGCAAAAGCGCAGAGTCAGTCGCTCCTGAACTGGAGAGCCGGAATCTGAGACCAGGGAAGTTTTCCTGTGAAAGGAACACTCTGGCCTGAGCCATGTCCAGGACTAGACCCAGATACTCCAAATGATGAGTCTGTTCCAGAGATGATTTTTGAAGGTTAAGGTTCCATCTGAACTGCTGTCTTGACAGTCAAATCTACAATGTCTGACAAAGACCCATGCCAACTGTTCCCTCAACAGAAGTTCATCTAAGTATCCCACAATGGGAGTGCCATGGGAACACAGCTGGGATAAAGATTGGGGCTAGAACCTTGGTGAACACCAGAGGTGCAGATGGGAGGCCAAAGGGCAGGGCCACTAACTGGTAGTGTAGAAGCCCCACTGCAAATACAAAGAAGTATAGATGAACTGAAAAGATTGAGATATGTAGGTGCAATTAGATGGGAGACTTCCAGCAGATCACACATTCAACAATCAAGGGAATAACCATAGCAGTGGTTAGATCTCTCTTGAGAAATATTGACTAGTCAGACATGGTTTGACAAAGTAAGGTCAAAGCCAGGATCATGAGAAGTGCAGCACCCTCAAAGGCTTCCAACTGCTTATCGGTTGGGTCCTTCAAGACAGGCGCATCTTCTGCTGGAATAGTAAGCACTTTGTTAAGAGGGGACTCTGCTGGATTCATAGTGGGAATTGACCACTTTTGCACAACATTGTCTCCATACAAGTCCAACGCTAATAAGGGTTAGAGGGGAGCAAAAAGATTTTTGTGATGTTTCCAAGAGAAAGAGTTGGAAAAGCTGATGCAAAGGAAAATCTTTGAAGGCCAATGTGCTTTAAAGGAGCCAAGACTGGAACCACACTAGTAAAAGCAATAGGGTGATCCTCCATTTCAGAGTAGTGCACACTTCATCAATAGGAGCTAAAATGGTCTCCTTAAATATGGGAGTAATAGCAGTAGACTGCGATTCCTCAGGGATAAGCTTATGAGTCAGGGACTGGTAAAACTCAGAATCAGTGGTCAATGGCTCAGAAGTAGCTAAGGCTTCAGGCAAATCAGATATAGATTCTGGAGGAAAGGGCACAGGAACTCGCTAGTGTCCTCTGTGATCACAGACAGCAAAAAACTAGGTGATATGGGCAATTAAGTCTTGCTTGACTGTAGTAAAAACCATCTAATGGAGCTAAAGTGGACTCCGATGAAGGGATACACTCTAGGAGCAGGGGGCAACATGATTCCAGGCTGAAGACATCAGCACCATTTGGAGGGACTGAGAGTCATTAGCAGTGTGAGCTGGGGGCACCCAGACTATTTCCTCCTCGTCTAGAATAAGACATGTTGCGACCATGGCAGCATATAGGTTTCCGGGTAAGAGGCAAGGCCTCAGGTACCCAGGACGCCCGGACAGAAGGTAGTGGTTGAATGGTTGAGGGTGACCAAAGTCAATTTAGCCTTGCAGCAGGAATGTTTTAAGATCAAAGCAACACTTATATCTTTGCAAGCAGGAGCACCAACAGGAATGGGAAATAAGGTTACCCAGTGACCTATGTAAACACTGTAGCTCCTGGTGCTTGGCCCCACTGGCTTATACTAAGTGAGTCTTTGGAAATAGAGCAAAAAACTAAGGCGATGCTAGTAGCTCTGAACCTGGAAAATGCTCCACAGCTTACTTTTACTAGAATAAAATCTGAAAACCGCCCACATGGAATCCAGAGCCCAAAAGTCACTTATAGGCAGAGGCGGCTCTTTAATTAGGCAAATTAGGCGGTCGCCTTAGGCCTCGTGCTCCCGAGGGGCTCGCGGCCGCCTAGTTTGCCCTGTCGGAACGACACATCACCTCGCTCGCAGTCAGGTAACGCTGTGAGCTTTCAGCCCTTTCATGGCTGAGAGCTCATCCGTTTCCTCGATCATCGGTACGGTCCATCCACCCGGTCTTCTGGAGCTCCACTCACCAGCCAATGAGAAGAGACCTCATCCCTCCCATCCACCACACGAGGATCTCTGGCTGGAAGGGTGGAGTTTATCTTCAGCAGCAGATGGAGACGATGTCGGCACCGGCTGGTCCTGCACGCTCCTGCCAGCTCCCGCCTCCGATACATGGCCAGCACAGTGCTGGTGAGCAGCAGCCTGGAGAGCCCTGAAGAGAGCCCTATGGAGAGCAGGTGA